AATGTACCCTGTGCAGTATGGGATTAGCATAGTTGAGACGTATTACACTTGGAGGTAAATGCAGCGGATATTACATCAAGGAAATAACGAATGCAGAAAATCTGCCTCTAAATCTGATCACATTGCCGTATTTGACACCATGTGGAGCAAAGTCTGTGATGTAGCTGGTTTTAATTAAAAGAAATAAGCTTCCTGTTTCAAGAGAAATTCGCTCAGTGAACTCTAATCACTTCTGCTGTGTGTGTGTGTGTGGATAAAGCGGCCGTTTGTTCACGTCTAGATGCTTTCATGCATCAGAACAATATGAAAGTTGCTGAAATTGTCCCGTATTTGCTGTTTTGTTTTTTTTTTCTTACATAAATTAGCTCCTCAAAAGTTATAAAACAAAAGCTTCATTTCACAGCAGCGTGAATATGAAGAATATGCAAATGTGCTGCGGCGTACGTAAGCCAACGAAGGTTTATTGAGTTGAAAAACAAAAGCTCTTTGTCGGTGGCTTTTCTTCAAAGGGCAGGGAGTGAAGTTGGGTGTGCGCGCCCGAGTGTTCATGCTAATATGTGGATAAAAGCAGCAGAGTGAGACGGCTTTGGGTCTGACGTGGAGGCGATGGGAAGGCTGATGAGCTCTTGATGCTCTGTAGTGGCAAACAGCAGTGTGTTCATCCACCGACTGAGCCTCATGAAGTGCAGCCAGGTTTGCTGTGACAGTGGTGGTGGAGGAGGAGGACGGGGGGGCGGCGGCGTTTGAATCGCTGTGGGATTCGCACTGTGGAGAAGAATGCTCGTGATCAGTCTGATGGCTGCCACGTCAGCACCTCCTTGACGTAGGCAAGCTCTCTTTCAAATCAGCTCATTTTTAAGCAACCGAGTGATTTATTTTTTTTTCTAGTTTAAGCATCAACAGAAGTGAGAGGTTTAGAAATATGAAATGCATTCATTCAATTATGGGAATTTAATTGGTTCCTGGTTTAAAACACGTTTTATGCTCATTTCCCTCAGTTGATGACACTGAAAAGGTTCCATTTCTCCTCAGAGTAAATTGATGGTAAAAATGGAGATGGCTTTGAAGAGGAGTCATTACTGAAATATTATTTTTGGTGTTCTTCCACTCAGTGACTAATGTGGCCAGTTAATGATAGCAACTGATTTAATTTGCAGGGTCATTCATAAAGAGCTTCAGTAACCAATACTGCTTTCTTAGTGATGCACATTCAGCTCTGTGTCAGTGAATAAAAAAGAACTGCCTCAGTCTGCTCCACATGCAGTGCTTTTCTAAAATAGATAGTGCAGGGTTATGTGATGTCCCTCAGTTTTAGTTTCTTAACTTGACTTCTGAGATACATTCAGAGATACACAGAATGGACCATTTATCACAAGTGGTTGTGATGGATTCGCTATAGCAGAGAAGGCCCCTCTGTTCAAGGGACACCTCAATGAGTCAAAGCAGCTGCAAGGACTCTGTTGATACAGGTTCAGGCATCGTCACAGGTGAGCCAGAACACTGACAAATGAAGCAAATGACCTTAATTATGTAACGACAATCAAAACATCAACATCTGAGAAACATCAGAGAGTAAGTGAACAGTCAGATCTTATTGTCAACATGTGGGCTGCAGGAGAAATGGGCAGCTTTACAGACATGAACTAGACTTTGCCCATGTTTAGCCCAATTGTAACTTAACACATGACTGGGTCAGTGCATCTCCTGAACAGCCAGACTTGTGAGGTGTTCCTGGTGAGCAGTAGTGCGTATACCTACCAACAGTGGTCTGAGGACGTGCAGAACTTTAACCAGCAACAGGTTATTGGAGGCTTCTGCTGGAATCTTCACCAAGGCAGCTCCAACTTCCAGAATTCAAAGCATCTGCTGCTAACATCTTGGTGCCACAGACACCTCTAAAGGACTTCACCAATCTTGACATTACATGAGGAGGAAGTTGAGGCACCAGTCAGCACTGGTATTAGACAATGATCACAAATGACTATGAATGTCCTGACCAAGATTATTTTGCGCCCTCAATCCAGCATGATGGATGAATTTACCCTCGCTGTAATCGTTTTGACCTTGTCGCTATCTTGAGGAAACTTCTCTCCTTTAAAAATATCTTTCAGTGTGTGTTGTCTGAGTTAGTTGAGTGAACTCACTTGACTGTTTCCTTTTTAGGTGTCGTATCAAACTGGTTTTAAATACCACTCTCTGTATTAAATGAAGCTTTGTTACTCTCAAAATACTCGATACTGCAGATGTTACACACAAATGTTGGATTGCTCCATTTTCCAACTTAAAATGTGTCCAGACAGAAAACACTGCTTGTCTGACGGTGGGCGTAAACCAATGATCGAGCTTAGAGTTGGGCTCAATGAAGCTTATATTAATCAGTTAGAAAATCCTTTGATCGGCTGACACATGATGCATCGATTATATATAGCGCAAGTACTTTTCACATGGTCGGTGGCTCTTAAAGGGGTTTTATTAGGTTGCTCGAGAATGCAAACATTAGCTGCCAGTTAGCCTTTAAAAGTGCTCAGTGCTTTTAATTTTGATGAGCGGTTTCAAATACTCCGTGGGAGTTGTGGATTTCTTTTCTTGATATATTTTTAATAACCTGGGCTTGTACTAGCAGAACTACTCTAGGGACAGCAGCGCTGGTTGGTACATTCCTCTAGTCCAGACTAAAATATCTCAACAACTACATCCTAAAAAGTCATGTGCTCTGCTTTCAGGCTGCACTTGAGGAGACAAAATAGACCCGTTTTTAGCAAATTTCCCAAAATAATTCAACAGCATCATTTAAGGGAACTGACTCTGTTGTAAACCACATTAATACTATCCAAGTGCTGCATTAGAGGAGGATTTTGTTAATTATTCTTTTAAAAAGGTGGAGAATACTCGGAGTAATTCCAGATACACATGTCCGTCCAACCCCCCACCATACTGTGCTATGATTAATTTTGAGCCACCACCATCTCTCATATTAAATCGTCCCAGATCGACATCATCCCCTCTAAACTCTTGAAAGATGTATGGCCCACTGTCAGTCCCTGCATCCTATCAATTATTAATTGCTCCTTGGCCACTGGTATTTTTCCTTCTCATTTATCTCATTAAACATGCAACAGTTAAACCCCTGTTAAAGAAACCCAATCTTGACCCGCTCACTCCCAGCAATTACCTTCTCATTACTAAAAGTTCTTTCCTGTATAAAGTGTTGGAGAAAGTTATTGCTTCTCTGCTTATATGAGCGCCAATGACATTTTCGATACATTTCAGTCTGTTAGAGTGATTTACATAGCAGTGAGACAGCCTTTTGGGGGACAAATGATCTTCTCCTTGCTGCAGATTACACTGAAAGTGCAGTATTTGACATAGTAAACCAATCCTTACTTTTACAGCATCCTTATACTTGGGTTGGTTTAAAAGGGTCTTTTAACTTTACGCTCAAACCTAATAGACTGTATTCTGCTGATACTGGAAATGCCCAGTCGTTAGTTTCCCATTTCTATTATGGGGTTCCTTAAAGGTCAGCCTTGGAGCTGTCTCTGTTTTCTATCCATGCCCTGTCCTTCGGCCAGGCTATCAGTAAACATAATGTATGGTATCATGGTTATGCTGACGACACACTGCTGTATGTTTCCTTGCAGTCCAGTTCTCTGAGCAATCTAACCCATCATTCTGATAGCGTCTTCTGATATTAATTGCTAACCCTCTTAAAATTTCCTTAGGCTTCATGATTACAAAATGTAATTTCTCTTGTTTGCCTCACCCGCTTCTGTCAATCCAAGTACTAGAAATTTGCATGTGTTGTTTTATTCTGACCTTTGTTTTGGTGAACAAGTCAAAAAGGTTGCTCAGTCCATCTTCTTTTACCTTAAATTCATTTTTAAAATGTAATCCCTCTTTTCCTTTCTGGATCTACACAGGATAGTCTGTATTTCCCCCATGTAGATTTTCTATGATGCATTCTACAAAGGTATTACTCAGGCTTTGCAACACGGTCTTCATTTGGTTTACAAAAGCTGCCAGGATCATCAGTTATCAAAAAAACAGAATAAGTCTGATTCTGGCCTTCCTGCCATGACTCATTTCTGATCTATTTTCTGATTTGTTTATGTTTTATTGTTGTTTTGTTATGTCTTGTTAAAGATCTACCAAACAGAATTAGGTACAATGATTCTTAAGGACAGTCGTGATCATGCTGCCATTTTTTGTAGAGACTGAAAGTCGGTACAGATTTTTTTTGCACCCCTCAGGATGAATTGTAGCAACTTTAGTTGTCCCTCAACTGTTCATCCAGCACCATATGGGTCCCATAAACTATACTTTGGGCTAAACACACAGGGCTGGATAAGCCTCTTATGGGGCTCTGGAGAAAAAACTTGGTCTTCGGCCCCTGCTGACCTCTGTGATACATGTGTTTCATTTTTTCTGTGGCACCCTGAAATGGAACAGGACTTCAGAAATGATTTATTGATTAATTTGTTCAACAATGACTGAAATTTATTGGGCAACAGTTTAGATAATCAAATAATCATTTAAATACCTCCTTAAGCAAAAAATGTGCCAAAAATGTTCTGGTACCAATTTCCTCAGACGAGCATGCGGCTCGTGGCAGCCTGTACGTAGATATAAGCTGATTCTTTTTGCAGCCTATCTTCCTCACAATCCTACCAGAGGACTGCCGTTCAACTTCTGAAAACTATTTATAGAATAAACTCAGCAGCTCAGCCCCCTCACTAAAAAGTTTCCAATCGTAAAAATGGACTACTGTATTCTGCACCTCTTTAGTCAGCTGGAGAAATCTTAAAGGCGCCTTTGAGGCCTCGCGCAGTCTACCATATGTTTCTGTCTGACAGCTTACCATACTCGCTGCACTCTCCAGGCTTCTGTCTGCTCCATACGGTGTAGCTGTGCAGACACGGAGGATTTACTGTAGAGCTGTTTTTATTCCATCAGTCTTGTGTGCACTGACGTATGCATACCTACATGTCTCCGGGCTGCAGGTCCAGGTGTCTCTGCTGAAGACCCGCTGCAGGCATGCTGTGCTGCTGGCCAGAAATGGGCCGCCAAAAACCGTCACTGCAACCACATGCCTCCGCTGAACAATGAAAAGCACTCGGTTTGCAGGTAAGTGACACGGCCTCAAGTGTCAGATTGAAGTTGTAGGTAAGCAAATGTTGTTTTGGAAGCTGATTTGAAATGAAATCAGGTTTAATAAGAGATTAGGAGGCAAACTGGAGATATCTGGATGTCTACTGCTTTGGTATTCCTTACAAAACCCTACCATGTATCAAAACTCAACATGGTAGAGTTAGCATGGTAATTTGGTTACTACCATGATGGTGCAATTTCATATTAATACCATGGTACACAATTACAGCATATGGGGACCAAATTACTGTTCCTCTGTACAGAAGCTAGGTTTGAACTATTTTGTGCCTAACATACACTTTCCCAAGAAGCATACAGAACCCTCACAGTTTTGGGTTATACTATATTTTTAATTAACTAAAATTACTTGTAGAAATCTGTTTTCACTTTGACATGAAAGTCAGTTTTTTTTCTTGTTAAAAAAAAGAAGCAAATTAAAATGACCATGACTGAATGCACATAAAAACCAGGTGCATGCATGTGATACAATTACATAGAACCGTATTGTAAAAAAAAAAAAAACATTCACAAGAGGAAAATGTGATCCCGTGAGCACAGAGCTGCAGCTCAGTCAACCTTCTCAGCTTACAACTGCTCAACACTCACTCGCTTGGCAGGTTGAGTTTTAAAACTTTGGAAACGGTGAGTGTGGCTGCTGCTTTGGTCACTTTCAGTACTATCCATGACCTTTGATTAGCTGTTTGTTTGGATCACTGACATGCATAATCTCATGCAGCACACTCCAGTCCAGCTGAACTCTACTAACGTATGAACTGGGTCCCTATTTTTTTGTTGTAATGGATCACTGCTGTCAATACAATAGCCCATGTTACATTTTAGTGATGCCTGATTTACTTGTGTTAACAGACGTAACTGCTCCTCAGTTTACCATTTTTTATTCGCCGACTACTTATTCTTGATGTTTCTGCTGCCAAAAAAGAGTCAAGGGGTAAGAGACGGGCCAGAGACTGACCAATTTTAAGACCTGAGACACTTTTCTTGCCTCCAAAATGTCAGTCAACTTGACAATTGAAGAATTGTTTAACAATTGCGAGCTTAAAGGCAGGTTCCAGCTCCGCCTTGCAATGACTCTTGCTAGTGGATACTGTTCTGTGCTCTGGTATCATGTGCCTGGTATTTCTGTGCACAGATTTTGGGACTAATTAAACACCACACACACCATTCTTTGTATACTGATGTAACTCTTCTCAATTCAATGCTAACACTTCAATGCAGTGTACATTTCTTCAGTTTAAAATGTTGAAGCAAAAAAAAAAGAAAAGTGCAATTGTCTGGTTTCCATTTATGTGCATAAATGTGTGTTTCAGTGTTGCACAGAAGCAGTGCTGCCTCAGCTCCGTGAAGGAGAGCCAGTGTGAATCAGGGGTGACCTCAGCCAGAGTGGGGGACACCTGTGAAGTGGATGAGGAGGACTCATGCACAGATGACTCCTACCAGGTACATGCAGTGGGGGAGAGAAAGAATAATGAGAGAAAGATGGTTGAATCATGACTAAAAGACATGACATCATAGATGAATGGTGAACACATTTATTCATCAAGTCCTCCATAAAAACAAACAGTGAGGTGATTTAAGGTTATCTCAAGAACAAAATATGAACAGTTTTTGTGAGTCAGGTGTGGCGTGAGTCACTGTTTCAAATGGTTCAAGACATCAATGGTGGATGTAAGAGGGTGAAATTATACTCAAGCACAGTGCATCCTTTGCCACGGTTGGAGAGGGAAAGCTCAGTTTGCCAGCGTATTTTAGACTTTGGAGTGAGGTTTCAGTGTCAGGTACTTGTGTGCCAGTAGAGAGGACTCCATAAAGGTCACACAGTCTATTTGTGTTTATTGGCAATCAGGTTCAAAATGTATGAGTAAAAACTGCCAAAACCTCACATTACTATTTGCATCCTTCAAGGCCCTGAATGCTTCCATATGGAATAGGGACTCATGCCTCTGCTCAGAGTCCACTCAAACAGCATTCCCCCTCTTCTCCAAGAGGAAACCTGGTGGTTTGGCCCCGGAGCCAAATGCTCATGTGTTGAGGCCGCCGAGCCAAATCTTCATGCCAGGTCTTTCACTCACTCAGTCGTAGAGGAAAGTTACACAAAAAAAAAGGTGAAAGTCTGGTTTTCTTTGCAAGACATGTGGTTCAGCTTAAGGTGGCAGCTGAAGGCCTTTGCTGTGGGATGAGCCGACCTGCTCGTCTGCGTTTGTTTGCTGTTTACTAAGCAGGACAAAAAGTGGAGGGTCCATAAAGAGAGGTGTTGATTAGAGACGTGAAGGGCACGCCGGCAATGACGCTAACAGGCTCTGCTGTTGTGTGTACATGGGCAGGTGTGCTGCAGCTGCTGTGCGCTTGGCTTGCTGGTGCGCAGCGAAGGACAGGGTTGCGATGCCCACCAGCACCTGGGCTACCCGTGTGGACACGTCTTCCTCACCTGCTGCGAGGAAGAGGACGGCCTGAGCCAGATCCCGCTGAGGAGAAAGCAGAAGCCCAGGCCAACTGTCCTGCCCAGAAAAGGTATCGAGTGCACAGCAATTATTCACTCGCATGGAGGTTTCAACACTGGCAATGTCAGGAATATCATCTGCCAACAGAAAAAGAAATGTTTAGGAAGGAGATGATGAAATGCGAGGTGTAATAGGTGTTCCTGAGCTTTCACTGATATCCTGAAAACTTGCAAACCAAATTGAATTTTCCCAGATGTCAGTAAACAACGTCATCTTTTAAGCACCTGCTTCCTAAAGCGTAGTTGTGGTTTATTTGTTTTACATTAATGTGGCCATTGCGACTCTGTGGGTCACAGTCATTTGCATTCTCCACCTCTGTTGTAGAGATTAAGGGAACTGAGGACTTGCACAAAACAGCCTCTATCAAGGCCAAAAGTATGGGCTTCCCGCAGCTTTCCAGAAAATCAGATTTTGACATGAAAGAAAACAGAAATTAGCTGCCTGGAACGACCATTTTGCTGGCTGACTGGCTAATCACCCTGCGATGTCTGCATATCTGTGCACAGCAGCTCCCAGAAAGAAAGCAAATGTGAACGTCGACAGCTAAGTTACAAGCGAGCGAACGTCTCGTCTGCTGATGAAGATCATATCATGCGATTAAAAGCCTCAAAAACTTTGCTTTACCATCTGCTGTTTCTAAGGTGGCTCTCTGAGTCATCACTGCGTACTATGTGGTAGTTGTGTAGAGCAGGTGCGATGATAATTACCACAATATGTCGCATATGTTGCTTTATCCTGTAGACAGCAGCAGGAATTCACAAAAACTTTTTGTCGCCGCTTTTTTAATATAATTAAGTATTCACGTTCTACCTGTGATAATCATGAGTTACATGTTTATTAAGTTTGTATTTGGGTTGTTTGAAAATAATACATTCAACTCTTTCCAATGCCATAAATTGATTGATGTCCATTATAAAGTAACTGTGGAAAGTAAAGAATGCAACATTTCCTGCAAAGCGAGAAAAAGAAAAATATTTAATACTTTGTTTTTCATGTCATCCATCATCCTTCACAAGTTATCTGACCACAATCGATAATTGTTTTAATGTTTTGCAGCTGTGAAGAGCTTCTCCATTTTCTTTATGCAGTGCATTGAGGGATAATAGGCACATTTAAATTACTGAATTTTCAGTGTGACTGCACCACAAACCCAAAACCTGCTCAGAATTATTCTGTGCACTCGTACTGGGACGCCACACAGACATCTTATTACTAGAAATCCTGCTACTGTTGTCTACCACAGTTAAGGTAAGGTAGCTGACTTGCCTGCTAAACTTCTAAAGTCTTGTTCATACGAGTGCCTTTTGAGGAACTGCGGTTCAGCAACCAGGCTCTTCTGCAAAAGTTGAAATGTGCAGTGTGTGTGAGTTCTTGCACGGAGGTTGTTGTTGTTCGTGAATGGGATTTTAAAAACAGTAACACATTTATTGCGAAAAGCTATGTGAAATGTGTGGCCAATGGCAGCCTGATACCTACATCCAGTGAGTCACACTATGGGATGGACCAACAACAAAGTTGGACACTGAATGTAAAACTGCAATCCACAGTGAGACAGCCTGCCTTAAAATTCCTTCTTCCCTTTTGTAATTTGGCATTAAGGCGATGTGGTAAAACACTGAGCTAATTTGCATAATATTCACAGAGGAAATAACAGATAATAAGTTCCTGGACAAAACCGTAGTTCCAGGGATGGAACTTGAGGCCGGCTCCTAAAGGGAGTCAATACCAATAGAGCGCAAGTTAAAATGTTTGACTTTACAGCAGAAATAAACATCTTTAAAGCTCAGTTTTGGTCTCTATTGCTAATTTCCCATTAATGACAACTGTAAAGGGGTTGAGTTTGTATATAACTCACCTGTTTAAATTGTATTACAGCTTAAAGTTCTGCATAATTAAGAGTGTTGCCACTTTGAGTGCCAGTTGGGTGATCCATGGCCCAGAGATGTTTCCATAGTCTCAGCTCTCAACCTCTTTGCCGATTTTTGGATTAGCCGAGAGTTAGGCAGAGTCAGGCGGAGCCGGAGCCACCTCAGTGAAGCTCTAAACTGCTCCTCAGGAACCCTGTAGGTGATGTCAAGGAGGGTTGGTCCATCTTTATGTAAAGGCAGTAAGGGTTACACAGCTTTAACTTTAATACACAAGAAAAGTAGGGTTGTCAAATGAGTCAAAAATGCAGTCAAGATAAATTCCATGACTGATGTATTTCACTTTTTAATCAGTTTATGGTAGGAAAAGTGAACACAGTATGGTCTCTTGCTTATAGACTATTTGAGTATAAAACGGCTTCTGATGCAATTTGATTTGCTTGATGGGAAACACTCAATCTGCAGCTTGAACTACAGGTGAATTATAAGGCCACCTAAAACAGGAAATAAAACAAAACCACAAAAAATGAGTGTGGATCAGGAATCATGTTTCAACAGTAAAAGAACATACACGTTTCTGGTAACTGCATTAAAGTTACGGCATTTTCAAAGCCCTAAAAATAGCTTTTTCCTTCAGAATATACTTGAAGTTACTGTAGCGCTGCACTAATAAATAGAACAGACTTGGATTGAGCTGTCAGTACTTTGTCCGCATGTCAGAGGTGGAGTATGGGCCAAGCTTGATGTTCCAAAAGACAGATGCTCTGAGTTGACTGGTCAGGAGTCACGTTACCGTCCATATTGATGCGAAAAGATGTATGTGAGCTGTGATGAATCGGGAACAGATGGCAGATTGGCCTGTTGTCTCTCTACTTGTGCCAGCAAAGTTTTCCTCCGTCTCTAAACCATCGAGCACCCGCTGTTCAATGGAAAATCGTTCCTGCACCCTGTTGCATCTCCTCGCATCGACAAAAAATGCGATCGTTTGTGGAGCACCTCCGTGATCTACACGTGACCTACATATCTTGTTTGCAGCTGCGAGCTCCATTAGAAAGGGATTTGCATGTTTCTCATCAATGACATCAGCGCTGCGATGGCTGAAACAAGACTCCACGTTTGTTAGTGTGTCTGTCTGTGCTCAGCTGGGCGATTAAAACTTTAAATTCCTCACAAGAATCATCCCAATATTGAACAATTCGTGGTTTGGTAGACATATATTGGGACCAGACACACAGCGTGGAACTGTAGCTCATTATTAGTCAGCCTCCGTGGTTGTCCTTTAATGGGAGTAGTTGTATTCAAGTATGATGGTGAGGTAAGGTCAGTCTCCGCGCTGCCTCGGCCTGTTATTTCATTCACAACATCAGAGAAATGCCTCTTAATCCCGCCCTTTAATAGGCTCTGCTCTAACCGTCGGCTGCAGCTCATTTCTTTCAGCTGCAAAGGGGAAATTTGAATGATGTCATTCTGAAGTGGGAATCAATTAACCTGCTGAAAGCTGTGAAAGGTTTAAGAGCTGCAAAACTAGTGAGGCTCTGTCAGTTTGTATTACAACTCTCTCTCTCAAACACACACACACACACTTTCTCGCTCTCTCAGGATGCATGCCTTTACTTGGTGGGTGTTTTATGGATGAAAAAATGGATGAGATGCACTGTAATTATTTCCATGGGGGATATGTTTTCAGTCTTATGACTCACCGCCTTTTAATTAAAACAGGAAACATTTAATCGCTTAGCTCCTCTGAATTTAAATCCCAGGTAATGGCTGTGAGAAATATTTACTCAAAACCCACAACCGGACCTATTACTGATAAAGAACAGTGCCTATTAAAACCATTTACCCCCCTTGGAAGTTTTTGCTTTTATTGCTTTTTAACCATAAATTGTGGTTAAATCAATTCCTTTTATGTACAAAAAAACAAGATTCTGTTATGTTAAAGTGAAAACAAACAGTTCTCTAAGGTTGTCCTCCAGGATTTTGCTAGATGATTCAGTTTACCCGCTACCTCTACAAGTCTTCCAGAGCTTGCTGTTGAGAAGCATCTCAACATCATGATGCTGCCACCACCGTGCTTCACAGTGGGGATGACGTGCAGTGTTTGGTGTCAGTGTAACACAGCGTTTAGCCTGATGGCCAAAAAAGCTTAAATTTGGTCTCATCAAACCAAAGAACCTTCTTTCAGTTGACTTCAGAGTCGCACACATACCTTCTGGTCCAGATGTGATATGAGCTTCATCCAGCTGTGGCTTTCTCTTTGCCACTCTCCCATAAAGCTTTGACTACTGAAGAACAGGCAGCAGTTTGCACAGTCTCTCCCATCTTAGTGGCTAAAGCTTGTAACTTGGTGGCATCCTTCACTCGTCTCTTTCTTGCATGGTCATTCAGTTTGTGAGGACCGCTGCTCTGGGCCAAGTTATGCATGAGTCATATTCCTTCCATTTCGTAATGATGGATTTACCTGCACTCCAAGTGTTATTTCTTGACTTATTCTTTTCAATAAACCAGGAGTACTGATTCCCCAGTAGCTGGACCTTCTGGATACTAGCAGTCCTGCTTAACAGCTGTCAAAAAGAGAGTGTATGTGCAGTGATATATTTATTTCTCTGGCACTTTATTATCACTTTAGTAATACAAGAGTTCTACAAATGCAGCACGGCTCTTGCGCATGTTATTAGTAGTTTCTCATCATTATGATAAAAGCATCATTCAAACACTGAATGTAAATATAGAGGAGGAGCAGATGTTGTTTTGTGTCTTCAAGTCAGTTTCATGACGTAAACTATACAGGCAATCTGGTTTTGTCTCTAATTTGACACCCCCTCTATTCCCCCAAACTCCCTTCTCTCAGTGCTTCCAGTCTCAGAGAGAAAGTTCCCCAAGGAGGCCTTCTCCATCAGTGCCACATACGAAGCTGCCAATGCAGTGGAGGAGCAGGAGGACGTGGATGAGTGCCAGCTCTACCATGGCCAGCTGTGCCAGCATACATGCACCAACATATGGGGCTCGTACCGCTGTGGCTGCCACCAGGGCTACATTCTCCAGCAGGACGGGCACTCCTGTGCACCAGGTACTGTAGCTCCTCCTGGGAGGTTGGTTCATGTGTGAATGGTGTGGATTTCAGATTATAATTAAAACATCAGTCAGATAAGATCCAGTAGGTTTAGATGGAACTGTAAAATGCGGCTGCCATTCTTGTTTTATTCTTTTTGCTAGATCTAGTAATGTGTCAGTCAAGACTTGCACAAAACGTTCGTAGGTTTATGAACAGGCAGGTAGGCCATCCAGTCATCTCATGCACTGAGTGTAATGATGTGTCAGACTTTGTATAGACTACTACGGACCACAGCATTTTTTCTTTTCATTATCAGAGCACTTGCTTTATTGATTTCTGTCAGCCTGTAAAAAGACAAATATGACAAAAATGCTTCTGGAATACATCACATACTTAAAGCGGTTAAGGAAAGCCATGGTCAATGATGGAGGCTTGTTCATTCCAATGAAGGCTGCACACTTGGTGCACAGCCCAAAATGCATGCACAGTTTTTCAGCGAGCTTTTTTTACTCGCCCACAGTTCTGGGCCCACAGAGCACGGGTATTATTTGCATCCTGTTGAAGTCGTGCCAGCTGAGACAATGTGTGTCCGAACCCGCCTGCCTGTTATAATCCGCACTCACAAACAGGATAAAACAGTTTAGACAAATGGTTCTCTTGACTTTTCACATTTTAGTGCATCAAATGGATCATTTCGGGGAGAGGCCGACTGTTCAAGACAAACACATTCATCATTTTTTTCCTTTTTCAGTGGTTTTGTGTTGGTAAGAAGACTTTTTGGCCAGTGAGAAATGTGCAAGTTGTAGTATTGGTTTTGGTCATACAGTTGTCAAGAGTCTTTCTTCTAGATGGAACACTTATGTCATTGAAAGTTGCACAAAATGCCAATAACATCACATTCATGCCGTATATGTATCGTCTTCTACACATACAGTTTTTAATGTATTCATCATCAGGATTTTCACCTCTGTTCTACAACTGACTTTAAAGCAGGATATTAACCACGTAATGAAAAGAAGTGACGCTGCTACAAACACTTGTACTCACTCTGTATGTACCTTGCACTTCGTGTTGCCTCCTATTTGACCCTGTGCTCATTTAGCTTTGCTAAGCTGCAGCTGTGTGATTGGAATTCACAGACAGGAGATGAGGCAAATGCTGAACAATAAAATTCAAATGTTTTACTTGCACTGGAAGTTTAATTACAGGAATTTAGATTTTATTGTATTTGCCTGCATGCTTATCTGACTGTGGGTATGCTGCGGTTAAACCGACAACAGATTTCGTCATCATCGTTATTGCACTTGAGCAAAGCGCATTTAAAAAGGCTCATCAAAATTCCCTGCAACCTCAAATGAAAAGATAATTTATTCACAGGCCTCTCTCTGCTCAATAAACGAGTATAATCACAAAAACATCCAGCATGGGTCAAATTATGTTTTGGAATATTACTCCTTTTCAAATTTGCCTTATGATGTGGAAACTTAAAGTAGTCGGTTTGTAGTTTAACCCGTCAGTCAGCTTCTTCATGTTCCTTGTGGTTGTCTTTGTTATCCAGTGAGTCCTGAAGAGGACAACCGAGTCAAAGAGGTGGACAGTCCCGCTGTGAGCCTGACACCAACCACCACCACCACCACTACAACCAGTGCAACCAGTACAACCACCACCACCAGGCCTGCCCGCCTCGATCCGTGTGCAGGTAGATACTGGATCACAATGCATGTGATGTCACCCTCCTCACTACCTCCCAGCATCTGTACAATTACATAAAACTACACAGAAGTGATATTTACATTTAGAAACAGATTTTACAAACTCCTCTAAAGGGAAAAAAAGAGAAGAAATCTGTCCTTTCAGTGCTGGATGATGGACATCTTCTGCCAAAATTATACTTTATATTCTTGGAGTGCTCATCTTAATTGATTTGACTCTCCCTTTATACAAGCACCTGATTTTCAAATGCCTTCAGACTTACAGGTACAGTACGGTGCAAAACGTGAGGACGGATAAGTTTTAGTCACCAATAAATTCAGTTAAATTAAAAGTTCTCCATGTTGTGTTCCTTCTGGAAGAGGTTGATGCAGGATGAGGAACCCGACACACCAGAGACTCAGATGACTTAGGTTGAAATGAGGTTTACTGATCAGGAGAAGTGACTCCAACAGGACAGCAGTTCAATGCCAGCATCAGGTCTGAGGATTTTGTCTCACACATTCAGTCTCACTCCCTCCTTCAGTGGAAACCACATCTAGATTTATGAGTGAGAGGGAAACAAAGAGTCCGGCGCCTTGGTGCCATCTGGCCTTGAGGGGCACAAGGAGTGCTTGCCTGTCCTCCTACAATCGATCTATATGAGGTCAAGAATCAATAGATTTGCAGATTAGCACACATCTGTTACAAATACTACTTTTACATGAGGGGTTCAATCAGAGTAGCTGAGGGGGAGAAGTTCAGTACCATCGCTAGAAACTTAACTCCAAGAGAGGAAAGTAATTTTTCCTTCACACTCCTTGGTGCATTTGCAGAGTTATTGAGCCACTTGACAAGAAGGTTGTTGGAGAAACTGTCACAGTTCTTCTGTAGATTCTGTGTTCAGGCCACCTGATGCAGGACTTTTTCTTCTTGTAGCCAAAGATAGCTCTTTATGAACCTAGCTATGTGTTTGGACTCATTGTTGTGCTTCAAAATTACTTGAGGACCAGTCACATGACTCCCTGGATAGATAACAGATTGGAGATTGGAGAGTATCCTGCTGATGCTCCATCAAATCTGTCACGTTCCTCAAGCTGTTCCTAAGCAGCTTTTTGGCTTCATACCAAGGTACCAAGGCTATATTATTGTTTTATTACTATATGTTTGAACTTGTCATGTTGGTGTGACAAAAGCTACGTATCCAGTCTGAAAGCTGCAGAACGGCTGAGCTGTTTTACGATACACTATTTCATAGGAGACTGCTGCTGGGTGTGGCCAGCCACAATCATTGCCAATAATGAGATAAAGAGGTATTTCACCCAGCTCTCTCGCCAGCTGCTACCAAGGCAAATTGAGACAGACCTTTGCTGTGATTATGACTGTAGTTATGACTTCGCTTTGGCTGTTAACATTATAGCTGTGACACATTACATTAGAATGGGTCTAACAGCGAATGCATGCAGCGGTTGTGTGTGTGCAGTGACTTGATATGTTGTATACGCTTGTCGAACCGTTTACACTGAGCCAATGGAAAAAGAGTTTGCGTTCACTGTCATGCTATAAATAAGTAGTTCCTCTCTTTGGTAGGGATGCTGGACAGATTCAGCTTTTCACCCACTGGCGATAGATTAACAGTCACCAACGACCAGCAAAGTGTTTCTTGTTCTATTTAAGGGTCCTAAGACTTTTTTTTTTTTTCTATGACTGTATCTTGTCTTATTCCTGCAATCCAGAAATGTGAAGCAATCCATAACCTCACACACATTAACAAACCAGCGGGCGTGGAATAACGGTCAAGTGATTAAGTCAAGTATCCTCAGATAGAGCTCCTCAATGCAGCTGGCAAAATGGTAGATCAAGGTGACTTATTTCTGTGTTTGAAAGCAAGTATTTAAAAACACTTGTGCAAAAGTCAAATTTCTTTAGAGCTTGTGATAGTCGCCCTGATAGATGCTGTTTAGTGCAACGGAGGCAGGGACTGCAGAGTTAGCATCAGCCATGGAGCCGCAGGAAACACAGATTCCTGGAATTAAGTGAACAGCAAATAAGCTTTGAAAATTTGGTCAAATTTTGCAAGGATTGATTGCAGGGGAGCAGAAACATGAGAGTGACGTCTATAAAGTAAGCATCCAGTAATACTTGGAATATACTGAATATAAGTCACAATTGTAACATGTTGTTTCAGCCATTTTTTGTTTTTCAAAAGATTCACCAAAATTGCATTACCTACTTCAGAAAAGTCACAAGGAGCCTGGATTTGGGCTTTCGTTAATGTTTTTGGCTCTGATGCTCATTTCCTGCTGTGAGACTCTTCTTCGTGGATTCCTCCCTGAGCTAACATTTTCAGCTACAGCTTGATGTGTAATGGGCAATGAGAGCATTGGGGGCTTTCGAGAGTGCTTCATGTAAGGCGGTGAAGTGTACGAGCAGTCTCTGGCGTCTCCACCCTCCAACTCCATCTGTGTGAGCCCACTAAGCTGCATGCATCTGCTCAAAACATCATCTCTGATTTTACTGAAAGAGAGCAATGGTGTGTCCGACAACCGCCTCCCTGCCCTGAGGCCGACTCCCTCGTGAACACAAAGCAGGGACGGTTGCAGCAGCTTCGTGAGCTGAATCACGTCAAGTCACTAAGAGAACACCAATATGAACCCTGGACTTGCTGGACTCTATTCCAGGCTCCAGCGAAAGCCCCTCGCTCCTTGAGAGTGTCTCTGATTGTTAGTTGTAAGAATATCCCGATCAATGTATTGAGCGGCCTTCACCGCCGCAGAACTTTAGAGGGGAATGTGTTGGTGAGAGATTGTGGGGAAACAGTTCCTGGCCCATGCCTCTTTGTGACAGGGCTATTGAGCTGTTAAATAGGGAGAATTGATTCTGCTGTGTGATTGCGATGGCTCATGAGAGGCTCCTTCCTGCAGAGCGATGATCAGTGTGAGGGAGTGGAGGAGGAGTCCATCGGGGCCTCTGGAGAGCAAGACAACATGGAAACAGCACAAAGATGAGAAACATAGGAGTGAATGTCTGTCCTGGAGGCATACCTGTGTGAGAATCCGGAGATGATTATGATCATGCTGTTTGTCTCCTGCAGAAAACGGAGGCTGCAGTCAGCAGTGTACGGCGGTGGCAGGCCGAGCTCGCTGCTCCTGCTTCCCAGGCTTCTCGCTGATGACCGATGGACGCATGTGTGAAGGTAAGGGCCACTACTCGCTCTCGTCACGTCACTGTTGGCAGTAATTGGAGCAATTCACAAAGCTTGTATGTATCCCTTAAGCTGTCACTGTCAAGCTGGGTTTGCACAACTAACACACAACCCAACACCGTCAACAATACAAGTCACTGCTGCATAAATGAACAACAACAAGCACACACAGCCATGACAACTGAACAAAAGTGCAGTGGAGCAGTCTGCCCAGAGATCGGGACACTTTTTAATTGGATTCAGTCATTCATGAAGAGGAAAATGTGCGTCTTGTGATACTAAACAATACATCGACTGATTGGGCTCCCAGTACCTGGAGGTGGAGACCATTGCCTGGAGCATGAGTCAACCATAGCCAATTACTCTGTGGCAGCTATGGCTGCAATAACAAACACTACACATGGTAGCTACTTTCCTTTCATAAGACTCGATGTGATAACTTGGCACAGCTGTAGCTGCTCTTACGGAAGGTCAGAAATCACAACCGCAGTCTATTATACTGTAGAATTAAGATACTGGAACAACAATGTTTTTACTAATGTCTGCTCATTATGAACCAAAAATACACCGTTTCCTGTTGAGTAGCGTCTGTGCAACGTCCAGCTGAAGTACTGAAGTTACAGTGGCAAGAAAAAGATCTGCGTTTATGAGTAAATGTGTCGTTAAATCTGGTCACATCTTCAAAATTACAATTATGAACATCCATCCATCCATCATCTATACACCGCTTAATCCTCACTAGGGTCACGGGGGGCTGGAGTCTATCCCAGCTGACTTAGGGTGAAGGCAGGAGACACCCTGGACAGGTCACCAGTCTATCACAGGGCTACACTTAGAGACAGACAGCCAAGCACACATTCACACCTACGGACAATTTAGAATCACCAATTAACCTCAACATGTTTTTGGACTGTGTGGGAGGAAGCCGGAGAACCCGGAGAGAACCCACACTGCACGGGGAGAACATGCAAACTCCACGCAGAAAGATCCGAGGCATCCTATTTAGGACGTGAACCAGGGATCTTCTAACTGTTGGCACAACAGTTATTTATGAGATTACTGTCACTAGAAGCGAACACCTTGCTAAGATGACCCCAAAGCACAATGCCGAATCCTCTGAGATAAAAAAAAAAATGAAGCATAACAGCTAAAGCCCTAAAAAAATCCTTGAACAGGCTTGATGTCCCTGGTTAGACATCATGAGGGAACCTGACACTCTCCAAATAATCTTTCTGACTTTTGCCGAAAAGTACCTTTGTGCTCCAAATGCTTTTGGGAAAATGTTTTGCTGACTCATAAATCTAAACTTGACCTCCAGAGAGTTTTCATAAAAGACATCTTAGGTACATGACCGAGCTGAAGCAGTTCTGAGAGGTCAAAGAGGCACCACTATTAGGCACCGAAGAAAACACACCCTGTTGAGATCTCTCCTCAACATTGTGCAGGTCTGATCTGCTGTTTCTGACTATTATAACCCATTTCTAACTAAATTATGTAACGTTGATATCCAGAACATCAAAAGTGTAACTCTGAAAGGCTTTAACTGAAACTAAATGCTTGTTTGCATCCTAAAGGAGTTTCCTATGTTGCTTGTAAACATTCATTTTTAAGCAAATACAGATTACTGTACTCCACTCTGGAGGTGCTGGAGCTGAAAATCAGTCGAACATGACAAGAGGATCGCCCACAGACTCACACATAACATTCTACTGTGGGAAAAGCGCTCACAGCGATAGATCATGAATGTTAAAACCCTACCCAGAAGAGAATGTAATTGTTGCCATGCCAAAGCCCATTTTCCCTGAATGGCCTTACAGTAATAAATTTACTGTAGTAGTTAGTAAATTGATCCATGAATTTGCAAAAGGGCGAAAACTTGGCAGTAATTTCACTTTGTGGAAAAAAAGAGATATATGGTCCAGCTTTTGGATTCAATACTCGGTGGCTCGATATGTGCAAATCCCTGCCTGCACCATGGATACTGCTGACTGTACAGGATGACATGAGAAAGGTGGATGGTTGGATCATGTGCTGCTCCAGTACTGAACACTGCAGTATATAAAACATGCAGTCCTGGCTGGGTTTATTTAATCCATCTGTCTGTTAGCAGACGGGATAATGCCTCTAAATGCATAAGCATTACACGAGAGTCCGTGTTTCCCCTCCTGTCAATTCATTCTGCGAGCAGACTGAGCACTTTCTCCCCTAAAGTGTTCCCACATGTGAACATGTGGGTGGGCAACCTTTGGTTTAGACTGGAATGAAACAAAGCAAATAGCACGACAAGATGGGAGTTTGGGGGGGCAGCTGAGGTTTTGACAGAGTTGTAAGTAGACTGTGAAGTAAACTGTGGAGCACTTGTTGTTGTAGATGTATCATCCAGACTGTGAAAACACTGTGAAAGCATTAACACCTGGGATGTTTGCAGTCGTGGGTAATTTGTTTAGCAAGTGGGAGCACTTCTATCAGAAAAGCTGAAGTGGTTCTTCCCTTATCAAGGCTGTTTGATATTTTAATTTACAGGTTTACAGGATAAATAAAGCCGCTCTTCTCTCTCTCTCTCTCTCTCGACTGTGTATTGAGTCGCATATGAATGAGAATGAACGTTTCAGCACACGGTTGTTCCCATGGAGATGTGCGTGAAGCAAGGACAGGTCGTGTGCAGGAAGGCTTTGTGCACAACCTGAATAGCGAATGTGTGGGTCAGACACTTGATCGGGGTTGGATTTGTTTTTTGATTCCCCTAAATGCTGCGTGGAGATGGAGAGCTTTGAGAGTTATTACACGGATGATAAGTATGAATGAGATGCTGCGATAAATTGTAATCAGCGCCCCGCTGCGTTATCGTCTCTGCGGTCACATAGCTAACATAATCTTTAGATTTACATAGCTGGGATTGTTGGAGAGAAACATCTGCTCCACCAAACCTTGTGGAAGATATCAACACTGTTCGACCACAAAGTTTTCTGAATCACGGATCCGCCCAGCAGAACAGACTGTGCTTCCCTCCAGGCTAAACTTTGTCTCTTTAGCTGTTGAAGTCAAGGAGAATAATCACTAAAACTGATATCATCTCCCTGTAGAGGTGTTTCAGTCGTGGTTAGCGTCGCTCTAGATGCTACGTTATCGTGCCGGTGCGACTTTGGTCTGCTTTTAGGAATCACAGTCATCTCGCGTGGTATTTCTAAAGCTGTGCGCATTATATCATAATCTTCCTCAGTGAATCAAGTTTATCATTTGATACGACGGCAGTTAAGTTGTTATCACGCGTATTAAATGTTCTGCTATTCGACAACAGAATGTTTTAACCCCTTGTCTCTGTTCAAATATGGTTGGATGTGAATCTTGTTGTCTTTCTCTACTGGCTCCACTTTGATGATCTTTATATCATATTCAAATTATATTGCAGCTACAATAATTATTGTGATCACCATTCCTTATTCTTATTTATCTTATTATTATTATTGTTTCGGTGTGGAACAGGTACACGACACATTTAACTACGCGTCATACCGTCTATAACTGTGTTTGTGACCAATAAAAGACCTTGAACCACTAGTTTCTTGCATGTAAACAACGAAAACGATCACAGATAAAAATTTGTGAAGCCTACCAAAGTGTAGCTACTCTCCTGAAAAACCTGAATGTGCTGTGTATTCTGAAAGATCTGCTCAATCTTTCTAAATTATTTCATTTTGAAAATTCCTGCATTGGGAAAAAGCTGTTTTTGAGGCTGTATTTGTGTTGAGCGGCTACACAACATCTGTATTTGTGAGTTTTATTGCAAACCGAAGGGTGTCATCTCAGATTTAGCACAAAGATGAAGAGCAAAGCAGGAGGTGGAGGCGTCTTTGCATCGGGATGGCTGGCGGCAATTTTGAGAAACAATCTTCCTGCCTTTTTTAGCTAAGAATGCTAAAGCTAAGCTAGTGTCATTTACCTATGTTGAAAAAAAACAACAAAAGAAAACAAAAAAAAGACACGAGCTTGAAGTCTGAACAGCAGTTTATTCCACTTTACCACTGAAGACCAGACACCACTTGATAGATCGTCATATATGGTCACAGGAGGAATCAGCATTATTCATTACAGAGGGACGACTGTTCATTTACAGTCTAATGTAGCCCAGATCTTGATATGCGACTTTTTTTTTTTTACAAGATAATCAAAGGTTTTTTTTGCTTCACCTGTGGGTGGTGCAAATCTTTTGTCACATCAATTTAGCATTTTGCATGTCTTTAAACCTCCAGGTGCCGTCCTGCACCCTCAGCGCGGTGAATCTTCCTGAGTTGATGCTTTTTCACTGATGATGTGGAAATTCAAATTCACAACTCGCACTTGAATGCCTCTGTTCTGCATCTGTGTAACTCTAACCTCCCTGTCTCAAACCAATCCTGCAAATAAGCCAAGACTGACTTCATCTACCGCAGCTTGAACTTTTCAAAAAATAAAAAATAAAACATCTCATCGTCTGCTGGGTCCAGTGTGTAAGAACAACAGGGTGTGTTTTCCTCGGTGCCTAATAGTGGTGCCTGTCTGACATCTCCCTGCGCTCGGCCTCCTCTGCTCTCTTGATGGAATTCTTCGAAAACTGCTGTCTCCCCTCTGAGTTGAACTAAGCATTTGTATTTTCTCAAAAATAGACTCTTTGTTTCCACCTTGTATTGGATCACTTCTCTCCTCACGACTGTGTAATGTTTCTGTCCCCAAGAGACCAGTCAGGGGAGGTACAGGGACTTTAAGGCACTTTTTTTTTCCTTCGCTTTTTCCTCTTTGCATGACGCACTGGAAATAAGTCTGGCCACCAGAGCTCTGTGGTGAAAGGAGAAGGCGACTTTCTGCACCACTGGCAATACGCAAACACTGGAAAAGGTCCCGTCCATCCCTGGGCTTAGAGGAGAGCGGGGCCCAGAGGATGGGGTGGACTCAGTGCTCAGCATGATTTGCCCCTGGAAACATCCTCCCTGCAACGTCGATAACAGATGTCTCTCAGTTGGAAGACAAATGGGGACGTTTGCAAAGGCAGCCCCCAAAACAAGAGTTTGCCACCACAGCACTGCTTGTGAAGCGTGCGTCCTGTGTCTCTGCAATATCAAAGGGCGAAACTGTTCATTCCGGCAAGATGAATGTGTTTGCGGCAGCTCCGCAGAGGCTTTATATAACGCATTAAAGCATGTTCTGTGCTGTGAGGAGTGATGCTTGTGTAGTTGTGTGAGGTGAACCTTACAAGAAGCGCTACAAATGATGCTCACACACCAGGTATACGCTGGAAGCCTCACATCAGTGTTTCTCCTCCTCCTGCTCCCCGTGGGAAGGTGTTGTAAGCCACGCAGTTCATTCAAATTCCCTGTAGCACAAGATTTAAAAGTCGAGAAAAGACATTTCAGTGAGGGACTGCCAATAGACACAAGGGCAACACGGGAGAATATGTTCCCCTCTTGTTCCCGGTTTTTACTTTCCCAGCGTTGGCTCCTTCATGCAGATTTGTACGAGACCTTTTCACCAGGTTCCCTGAGGAATGCAGCATATTTTGGGGTGATCTTGCGAATCTGGATGGCTGCCGCACTCTCGCACGCACACGCACACACAGAAAATAATCCCAGTCCAACGCTATCACTGCATCCGGCTAATCGGCTGTGCACTGCGATGCATGATAAGAGAATGCAGCAGTTTGATAAAGACGAGCCACAACAGAGCGGCGATCCACCGTCTCAGCACGAGCCCGGCAGTGTCATAAATCAACACCGCCTGTTTACCGGCCGCGCTGCTGTTTGACTGATAAAGATTTAAAGGTTCGCAACTGTGTGTTTTATTTCACACAAACAAGCATAACAAGCAAAATATCACTTAGCTTTTTGCCAAGACCCGATATATTAAATTTAGCTTTGGATTTACAGAGCGGCCGCTGTCCAAAGTTGATATAATGGGCTGCCAAACAGCACTCCAGCACACATTCTGTCAGGGTCATGTGTGCAAAATCAATGGGACCGAAAACAAATCTTGTTTTAATCCGCCTAAAATAATGTTTCCTTTGTTTTTCTGCCATCACATACACGTCAGCGGTTTAGTAGCAAAACCAAAAGGGAGAAACTTATCATTTACATTTTGCACTTTATTGGCAAAGCCTCTGGGCCTGCACCACTCTTTCTGTGCTGATGGCCAGTCAGATTGTAGCTGTATGAAGCTATAACTGCAACAGAAAATAAAAGGACACTTAAATCTCTGCCAATAATAAAAATCTAGTTGCTTTTTACCTACAAGCATGGGGACGTGTCTAGTCCCCTCAGTCTGCAGGTCACATTAACCACTTATAAGCATGTCAGCCAGAACACTGTGCAGCATCTGTTTCATACCTGAGAAGAATATCAGTTTAGATGCTACATGTTCTGGTCCTTGATGCAGATGAAACACAAAGTCATTAACAGTGCAAGCCAATAGTTACATATCATACATTAGCACTCATTTGGAGACCATTAAAGCCCCATGATATGCCCCTTTTCATCAAATTAATGCAAGTCTCACATGTCCCCGCTGCCCGTCTATCAATTTTTTCAGCCCAAAACACAGCAAAAGTGGCTTTAAGTCTGTTCTAAACATCCTATTTTTCTCTACAGCCCAATAAGCTGCTGTTGTTCCTGGCTCCTTTAGGAAAAAAAAACCCACTATGTCTGTGATTGACAGCTCAGAGCAAGACAGTTGACCGCTCAAGAGCTGACAGAGACACGATAATGTGCGAGACCAGGACTTTCTATCGCGACTACCTTTCACCCTGAGCTGTCATTTTTACATGGAAATATCACCGAGCACGGATGTTGTTTTTACCTCATGGATGGTGGAATTGTGAGACGACGCTGCGGTCGTGCAACGAGAGGTTTAGCAGCGAAGAGCTCCTGCTTAGGAAATGACCATGAAGTGACGGCTGTCTTAATGTAGTGTTGATGATCTTGTCTGACAAGAGAAACCAAAATATATATAAACGAGAGCATTTTTATTGGGAATTTAGCTGTATTAAAATACAATATATGTGAGCACAGAGAGCAGGAGAGAAGCAAACAGACGTAAACACTGAGTTTAGGTTGCACCGAAGCACAAGCATGAACACACATTTCAAATTACACCCACAGTTTCCACAGACCTGTAACAATACCATCAAACCTAATGCAACATGATCCTAAGAGCTTTACTATTGTTGTGGGGACATTATCGTCAAAAATAAAAAATAATCCATCCACTGGGTATTCAGTTTCTCAGATGCTGGCAGTGACTCTTGCAGTCAACAGCAGAACATTTGCTTTGCTTTGCTTGCGGCTGCGACATTTTGGAGCAGCAAAAGGTCTGAGCCACGAGGTGCAGAAGCAGCTCCAGAAAGCAAACAAACCTGTTAACCTGTGAGGCAGCTGCTCTTTCGGAATGTGTCACCTGGAAGCAGCGAGGCAGCGAGGTGACGGGGTTAAACAAAGTTTGACGACTGTTGGTTAGTTAGGTGTGAGGCGTTGAATTCCTACTCGCTCGTAAATCTGGAACCTAACTGGGGACAGTTGAGGAATGGTTGAAGTAAATGTCTTCAAGTTTATAACAAATACAAAGCACAATAAAAATTGATTTTTTTTTTTTTTCATGTGGGATCTTTTAAAATGCCTGTTAAAAAAAACAAACAAAGAAATGAGCTGAAAGATGATAAAATGTTCCAATGGACTCGTGGCAACTGCAGATCCAATTGATTATTCACTGTTGGTTTCATTACAAACCCTTTAGTCAATAGAATGATTGTTAACATAGAAATATTGAGTAGTGCAGCTTTAATCTTCACTACCACTGCTTGGTTTATAAACTAGAGTTGCATGTTGTTTCCGTGCCTCTGCTGATCCACCCACTCACAGGCTTTGAGCTATAAGACCTTTTTTTCTTCCTTTCATAATCACAAAAACTCCAAACAATGAATTTGTAAACCACTTCCCATGGATTTGTCATTGCACCCACCGATGACTTTTTGTGCTTGAAACTCTCATGGCGGCTCGATGATTTTCATGCAAGCAAAAGCATGTAATTTCTCCGTATGCCTAAAAACTCTTAGAATGACTTTCTTTGTTGGCTCCTGCAGCATTATTTTTTTGCTGACGTCCGTCTCCTGCTGACTCATTGAGCCCCATCGCGGTGGCAGTCAAAGAGCAGGAGCGCGAAAGCCGAATTGCACACAGGACCTGTCCATCAACAAGCTCCTGACAGTCACCTCCAACCTCCTAATGGCACACCCACGGCACCACCGCCCCTCCGCACACAGTCACCTTTGTTTTCTCTCTGCAGATGTGGACGAGTGCGCGACCAACACCCACAGCTGTCGGCCAAGTAAGCGCTGTGTGAACACCGTGGGCTCATTTGTATGCGAGCTGCAGGTCACTTGTCCTGCAGGATACCAGCTGAGGAACAGTGTTTGTGCGGGTGAGTTCATTGTTCCTGATGTATTTCATTAGACCAATTCAGCCAGCAGTCTTTCTCAGGGTCTGTAAAGTAGAAACGCTCATGATGTCTTCTTTAATATGCAGCGCAGGGCTTCTCTTATAACTTCCTTTTATTGGTTAAGAAATGATACACAATAAAGTAAAAACCACAAACTCTGATATACAACCAGATGCCCAATGATTGGACTATTCTGTAAAACCTAGAATAATGTTTAGTGACAATATCCTCTAAATCATGGCTTCCTGCGTTCTTGTTTTTCACAACTACAATGTAGTAAGGGTTAGGAAACGAGTATGACAGAGCCACTATAGTATGATTTAGGTATGCTTAACGTTTTTCACTCCTGGTTCATTTGGCAGCACTTGAGATCACCAGAAATACAATAAAGGAGTCACTAGTGTCTCTGTATGCAGAGCAACCAAATGAACAGATGAAGGCCACGGGCACATTTTTGATGAAAAACTGTGGCTGGCGTTTCACATGTGCATTTCTTTTGACGGGCTGCAGGGTGGCGCAGTTGGTAGCACTGTTGCCTCACAGAAAGAAGGTCGCCGGTTCGCGTCCCAGTGGGGGAACCGAAATCTTTCTGTTTGCATGTTCTCCCCGTGCAGCGTGGGTTCTCTCCGGGTTCTCCGGCTTCCTCCCACACAGTCCAAAAACATGTTGAGGTTAATTGGTGATTCTAAATTGTCCGTAGGTGTGAATGTGAGTGTGCTTGGTTGTCTGTCTCTAAGTGTAGCCCTGTGATAGACTGGTGACCTGTCCAGGGTGTCCCCTGCCTTCACCCTGAGTCAGCTGGGATAGACTCCAGCCCCCCACAACCCCAGCGAGGAACAAGTGGTGTATAGATAATGGATGGATTTTTTTTGACTCCTTCACAATAAACTCCTGTGCATTACAGTTAACAGTCATGCAGATGAAAATAAAGCTACAAACTGTAATTCTGGATGACACGCATGCTTGAGAAGTCGTCGTGTGTTTTTAATGCAACTGGAATTGATAGAGATGAGAATGATGGTGGAACCTGCCACTTTATTTAAAATATCCCAACAGAAAGGAAACTAAAGAATGGAAATACACTGAGTGGCTGTTCCTGGAAACGTGCTGTCCATTGATTGTGTCAAAACAGAATGGTTTCATGAAACCTTAAGGATTCTGTCTTTAGTCCCTCCCTACATGCCCATGCACCACCTTGACCTCTACAGTTAAGGGTTCACTACTTTGTGAAATTGACATCAACCATTAAACGGTATTGGATTTAAATTGTTAGGTGCCGTTTCATCCAGCTTCCATCCATCCGTCCATTTTCTATACACCACTTTACCCTCTACAGGGTCATGGGGGGCTGGAGCCTATCCCAGCTGAAGGTGAAGGCTGGATACACCCTGGACAGGTCGCCAGTCTATCACAGGGCCACTTTGTCCAACTTGAAAAAGTTTTATAACTTTACATTACCTTCTGTTTATTTGAAATTCACAACTTGGTGCTCATCTTTGGCCGGAGCTCATGTCGTTTGTTGGAGAGTGACACTCACCGATGCCAGTTTCTCAACAATTTAAAGAGGATCCAGCAATCAACCACATACAGGTCCCAACACCTCTGGCTCAATCTGAGGCAGTTTGTAATAGATGATCATGCTGGCACACGCAGGCTATTCTGGTCCTGATGTTTGTCATCACTTCCCCTCTACCGCTCTCCCTAATTGTATCATTGAAAACCCAGAATAATGTGTCCTTAAAAGGCCCCTTTAGGACTCCTTTATTGATGGCAGACAATTGTTTTCAAAGAGGCTCATTAACAGGAACACGGTATATTTAGAAAAAGCACATTTTCACCCTCAATCCCTATTTAGATAGGTCCGATTTACACCAGTCACTTTCATGCCAACGTTCCTTAAACACTTGGGGAATTGCGTGTCTGTGGTCACGTCTTCAACTCGGAGCTTAAACTCAGTCAGCGAAGCTTCATAAATATGTATGTTAATATTTTTTGGCCCCAGTAGTGATGTTTGTGCTTGAGCAGATGCCCAGGTTCTATGTGACAAGATAATCACCCGGAGAGGCAGCATTGCGCAGGCGGTAAAGCACTTTGAAGCTCTGTGACTCGTGTCATCAGCACTTGGCACCAGGGAGGACTAATCAATGTAGCCAGATAATGAAGGTAATATTTAGTCGACCGTCCAACAGGGGAAAAACTAATTAGCTGCATGAAAGCAAGGAAAGATCTCTGCTGTGACGTTGGAAACGCATCCCTCCAACCATGATTGGTGGAGAAAAACCCCAATTAAGACCTTCCGCCGAGAGCGCCCGGGATAACACAAACTCCCGAGAATGAGGCTCGCGGCACAAAACAGAACAAATCTTCCATTTAAACTTCATCCATCGTTCATGAGATTCAATAACTGTCATTTTAGAAGTTTTGTTCAACTTCCGTTAATTGCAGAGTTGGATCGAGTGATGTTTTTCGTTGGGATTTTTCTCCCAGCTAAACATTGGCAGAGAGAAAGTTTGGGATGCTGCACATGTTTATTCAGTGCTTGAGCCACAGTGCCACCTGCTGTACTGTTAACAAGCTGGGAGCTCGAGTTGGAGCTGAGAGGGCAGATTGAAGTCCTGGACAGCAGAATGAAGTATGGATCACTTTGGTTTGACTCATTTAAATTTCCGCTCATCTATTCTTTCTTTACAGATGTTGATGAATGCCTGGTGGGAACCCACAACTGTGGTATGGGCTTCGTGTGCGAGAACACAGTGGGCTCCTTCATGTGTAAACCCAAACAGAAGTGCATCAGCGGCTTCACACAGGACTCTCACGGCAACTGTATCGGTAAGAGACCGTTAGTGCTGTTCGCTGTTCAGGTGAAGACAACTTTTAATACAAAATAGCTGGTAGAGAATTAGATCTCCCAAAATGAGATGTTTTGCCCCAATAACAACCCAGTTCCTTACAGTTTCTGTGTACATTTGCTTCTGTATTCTGCATCACCACCAAGATGTGTAGTAATTTACATTGTAAAAAAAAAAAAAAGAAAACATGAACTCCACAAGATTTTTCAGTTGGGAACTAAAAAAGGTGTTTGGATGGGAGATGAAACGTCTTTAAGAACGATAAAAAGGAAACTTTTTACTGTGGCTCTAGGGGTTATTAAGAACTGGATGAATCTAAAAAGACAAAATATCTGGAACCAAACTGAAATAATGAACATTTTTTAACAGCTGTTGCTGTGATCGGCTGTGGTCAGAGGTTTGGGTTAGTCATCGGGTCCTTTAGAACTCTTAAACATCACAACAAGACAACAAGTTCAACCACTGGAGGTCAACAAATACAAGATTCTGAGACTTTTCTTGGTAGTCTAAAGAGGCCAGTATGCTCCAAAAGAACTATTAATTTCTGATAATGAAGTGGGGTTGAGGGGATTGAAGGGCTGAACCTCTCACTTGTGAACAACAGAATGCAACACATTGGACGCCTTTCCAGAGAGACTGAACGTCCATACTATCAGTCCCCTTTTTAATAAATATTGAGATTCCAACCTTTTCACTTCACCTTCCAGTGTGGCTGTTTGGTTCAGGTGTAAACGCTTTTAATGTGGTCAGACTACCCGTCATATGAACCACGACTTTTCTAGTGTAACTGGAACTTAACTGTTAACCAACCAAAACATTCCCAGATCACATCAGACTTTTTTTTTTACCTTTTATTCTGCATCTTTCTCCCTTTATTTTCTGTCATTTATACTCAGTTGGCTATTCAATGAAGACCCCAAGATGTTATTTAAAAAAACAACCTTTTTATTTGACTATGTTGGCATATTTTGAGCTTTCATTTTGTGGTTGATCAACTAATTATTTCATCATTACAGATTTATCAACGCATAATGTCTTGTTTCTTTAATCTGGACTAAAACCAAACTGTATAAGTTGTGGGTTTTTTTTTTTATTTGGGGTTGTGTTGTAAACTATTTCTTGGCTGGCTGCTCCTGCTTCCTGCTTCCTACTAGCAGCTTGGTAACTTCACAGTGAAAATAAAAAAGCTCCCAATAAAACCTCAAACTGTTACACTTCAGCGTACCCGACACACGGCCGCTGTAGGAGCACAAAATAACAAATAGCATCCCCGCTTTTCTTTAAATTACATACAATTTGTTTAGTGGCGTTTAGGGAAATATCATATTGGAAGGGGGGTAGCCGTAATGTTCACCTCTGGGTGCTGCTGATGTCATAAAACTGTCTCCTATAGCTCGGCTGATGTACAGCCACGCGGAGCAGAGTAATCATCAGCGGTAATGACTCCCAGCATGGCTGCACGTACGTTACAGATCTGTCACTGAGGGTGTGAGGCTTCCTTTGGTTCCCAACAAGTGTATATCTGGGGGTTTTAATAATCTGGTGTTTTAGAAATGTAAATGTTTTTTTAAATGATTTTTCACCCAATTCCACTGTGACTTGTGTATCTGTTGTTCAACCACTGTTTGGCATTTTGGTCTCTGTTAGCTCCTTTAAAGTGGTTTATTAGGTGACGTTGACTCAGTTATTCTAAAGCAGGGGTGTCCAATCCTGGTCCTCGAGGGCCACAAATGATTCAAATGATCAGGATCGTTATCAGGCTTCTGTAGAGCTTGATGATGAGCTGATCATTTGAATCAGGTGTGTTGGAAAAAGGAAACATCTGAAACAAGCAGGACTGTGGCCCTCGAGGACCAGGATTGGACACCCCTGCTCTAAAGTCTTCAAAGCTGTGGTTTAGTTACACATGCTTAGTGTGTTCACATGGACATGAGCATCTCTGCTAAGATCAGGATTTTGAAGAATCCACCTTTTGTTCTGAACATCAGATTTCAGAAACCAAATCCTGACTTCTGGTTTTGATAAACCTGAATATGCTCGCTGGACTACTTTGAAAGAAAGCAGGATGTGGTTCCATGTAGAAGTTTCCAGGCTTCTGAATGCAAAACAAAACAAAACGAGTGCAGCAAACAGAAAATCCTTCTATTCATAGTCATGGAAAGTAACCACAGCACACTTTGTGGCCTAAATTTAGGAACTGCGGTCCTGAAAACTTGCTGAAAATAACGTATTTTTAGAAAATCCATCAGAGTGATGAAGCAACTGGATTTTGTCTGGAAAGAGCTCCGTGTACTTGATCATTTAGGTGGAAGAAAGCCTGGAAATACTGACATGTTAGAGCGTTTTGTCAGGTCAACAGCCACAGTCACATGAATTTTGAAGATTAATACTTACAGGGATGTCAAACACTATTAACCACTTTCAAACTGCCAGTTTGAGTTTGCTCGGCGACGCTACCACGATGCCCACACATGAACAACTAAATACACAATTCTAATCACAGAAATAGACATGGGTAGGCCCGTCAATCAAGAACAATGCTCCCACCAGTGGCTCTTCTCTGCAGCTTGATTCTGTGTCTTTGTGCTCCTGCAGACATAAATGAGTGCAGCAGCCTGAATGAGCCGTGCAGCTCAGGTTTTAACTGCATCAACACAGTGGGCTCCTACACATGCCAGCAGAAGATCAAGAAGTGCAGCCACGGTTACCACGCCAGCCCCGACGGAGCCAAGTGTGTCGGTGAGATTTAGCGCTTTAAAGGTGAAGCATTGACGAAGCGGGATGGCGTCGTGGAGAGGTGTGAATGAGAGCATTGACATCATTGTTTTGGCTGAGACTCGGAGAGGAAGGAAGAGTGTGAGCCAGTTGGTATCATCCATGCAGAGAGATATACAATAAACAAGTATATGAATAAGTACATTGAAGATATAAAATAATCTGGATAGATTTTTTTTAGGAGATTGTCAGGAACAGAAGCCACATTGTACAGAAATTTAAGCCTTAATACAGTTTAAATTGGTAATTTATAAACAGATTGTTATGAACAAGAAAATTAGCGATAGAGAACCAAACTGTTTTTTTTTATATACCAGACTGTTAACATGTTTATTTTTACTGTAAAGTTTAATATTTACCATCAAGTCACTCATTTAAGGATCTGCAGCTGTTGGCGCCTTCACTTTTGGGCTGTTGCTTGGTTAAGTCTGTCACACAAGCGACGAGAGCAAGAGCAGCATACGCATGTTTTGTTTGTGTAGGAGGTTGTCTGTGTTTAAGATAGACCCACTCGGGTGCTCAGTGGGTCACTGCTGAGGTGCTTTATGTTTCTCTCTGCCTGTCTAGACATTGATGAGTGTCAAATGGGGACGCACCGCTGCGGAGTGGGCCAGATCTGTCACAACCTCCCTGGCAGCTACCGCTGTGACTGTCAGACAGGCTACCAGTATGACGCCCTGCGCAAAGTCTGCGCTGGTACGTATCAGCGTGTCAGACCTGCAAGACGACGAGGTTCAGTCGTCCAAGTGCTGTTTGAAGCTGCTCTAGAGGCAGAAGTTCTCTCAATGGGTCATGCAAACTTTAGTTTTGTGCAAATGTAACACCAGATTTGACTAAACAGAACAGAGTGACTTTTTATACTGCGTCACTGATATTAAGGATATAAAGATTTCAAGGTTATACTGGTGTTTATTAAGATGGTCCAGCCCCAAAATAAAAGGCAGGAGACTTTGTTGCTCTTTTTAAATGAGGAAAATGTTACTTAAAGTCCATCCAACTGCCAATATGCAAACTAGCTGACCTGACTGACAGAAAACCTCGTGGGTTCAGTGTGGAGTGATGAGGAGACTGTAGCCTTACTCACATTAATACGCGATAAAAATTCACAACTTCCATCAAGTTTTTCATTGTTTGGGGTTTTACTGGCCTCTTTATTATGTATTAATATGTCAGCTCTTTGTGCTGAAATCCAACTATTAGCATAATAGTAGTGCATCAAAAAGATGATCTCATTTGCAGATGTTTGGATACAGGAAGGAGAACAAGGACAGGAACAAGAGCCCGAAGGCAAGTGCAGAAACTAGTTTCGGAAGAAACAGGAACAGGCAGTTGAGCACAGGAACAATCAACAAGATGCAGATCGGGACAGAGCGTTCTGTAGTCTTGCAGCCTGGACAGAACGTACTTGGTCATCACGAGTCTTGAGTTTTGATCGTCACCCTGCTTTTATTACAATTACCTGAGAGCCGGTCATTCCCAGTGAGCCAGTGTAAGAACAGTGAGTGAAGGAAAGATTTCAGACGTGGTGCAGGTCAGCGAGGAAGCCGTCATCAGCGTGATTACGTCCGGTGGAGATTACACGATGTGGGGGTGAAATGCAGCAGAAGACAGTTTATCACACCCACCTGTAGCTGTGGTTTAATAACCTGCTGACCTCTCAGGAGCAAAACCAAACTGAAAACATGATAATCGTGTCCACCCCAGCCCTCCACGAGACCCACGGAAAGGAAAAGTGGCTACTGGTGTGGTCACATATATGTTTTTATAAATGACAGGTTTAAAAACAAAAACAAAACTATGTGTATAATAAAGAGGATGAACTCCAGTGTTTATCCTCTTGGAACACATCAAACTAATCCTGGATGTGCAATCTGTTCTTTACAAACGCTGCAGGCCCTGATTCAAGTTGCTGATGAAACTAGTCTGACTTTTCCTCTTCCTCGCCGAGCAGAGATTATAACCTTGACTTAATCACCATCTGTCTTTCCTAAAAATAGAAGGAACATGTTTATTAAAAAAAAAAAAAACACACATCACGGACATTTGGAGTCTTTCTTATGTAATCTGATGACATCTCTTGAAAGCGAGGTGCGGACACGTTGTGTGTGGGCCCAGATGGAGACGATGACATCGGGAGCTCTGAGTAAAGCTCTGCTAATGACCCTCCTGTCTGACCTGTGAGCCACAGTCACACCTGACTCCCCAGTGCTCCCAGTACAACCCTCCCTACTTTAGAACAGTTTGCTCCCTCTGTCACTCTAAGAGCAAGTTGACCTATACAGAGCAGAGTAGAATATAGAGTAGAGTTCTTGTGTATGGAATATTGAAGGGAAATAAATGAAAGTTTGTCATATTTTTTATAATTTTTTTTGTTAGTCTTAATTTGTTAGTCTTTATTGGAAATATAATATATATCAAAATATCGCTAAAATAATAA